ACTCTGCTGTGTATGCTTTAAGGAAGTGAAAAAAACAAGCTTACCAATCTTTATTTCCTTAAATTATGTTTTCTGGGCTGTTTTGTTTGTGTTTTTGTAATTTATTATGCTTAGACAATATTACATATTTTTATTTCTATTACAGTTTTTCTATTTCTATTATAATTCTGCCTTTATAATGGCCACAGAACTATGGCAAAGAAATATTGGAACAGTGCTTAGGGAAGATATAACCTTATTCCCTACATTTACAACTTAAGCGCGCTCTCGCTCGCTCGCTCTCTCTCTCTCTCTCTCTCTCTCTCTCTCTCTGTCTCTCTCGATTGAAACAATAGCTTAAGATACATGCTATCATACAAAAGGGCATATGTATCATTTCTGGGCAGAGAAGCAAGTAAACAATAGTGTCAGAGTGCACTGATGGTAGGAGCCATCGCAGATGAGATTGGATCATGGTTTCTAAGGCGGCCAAGTGGCTGTCCTTATCTTGAGTTGTCTAAAGGAGCTCCTTATTCTCTTGCTAATCAGAGTTGACATTAGGTTAGATCAAATCTCTTCCTGTAAGGAGGTAAGATGAATGGCCAGTGGAGAGAAAGAGAAAAAGGACAGAAGAATCGAAATGTGTGGTACTGCATGGGGTATAGGTTAAAAATTCTGAAACTGCTATACTTGCATGCTGCGATCAAACAAGTAAGTGAGTGGATAGCGGATGGTGACAGCCAAGTTTTCTCATCGTTGGAGAGAGGTTCTATGAATAAATAAACAAGGAGGTAAAGCTAAAGGATTTATGTGGAACCAATCAGAGTCGGAGACATCTCTATGCACCCATGTTTGGCCAGGTAGATAAAGTATAGACATGGGTATATACATGGCTTAGCACACGCACATGTATTTCCTAGTTCTGTCCTCTCAGAGGGCCTAGAAGCAATGACACCCCAATAGCAACGCGCACACCCAGTGCTCAGATCTTGGTTTCTAATAGCGCTCTCCAATCAAAGGAACCAGATCTCCTTAGAGAAATGGCTGTTTCCAGGGCTGGGGCAGGGAAAACATGAGATGGGCCTTGCAGCATCGTCTAGTGCCAGCAAGTGAGAAAGTGCTCAGAAAACAAACCGATGGGCATGGGTCAAAAGGTACACAGGAGTCCACTCAAAGAGTTTGCAAAGGCCAAAGCTGGAACAATCTGAGCAACAAAATAAATGATATAGTATTAGATTATAAGCCAAAGTATAAAATAAACACCCATGAATCCAAACGGATAAATACTGAACAAATAAATAAATGTGAAAGAAGAGATAAATCTGCACAGAACACCACATGATTGATATAAATACTCCCCTCTCAAGGAGATGGAGCGCAACTCCCCACTGCTTCAATGAGGGCTACCCATAGTGACTTTGTTCCCAATGTTGCAGTTTGGAAAGAGGGAGGGGAGGAGTGACTCTACGGTGGAGAATGCTAACAAATACAACCTCAGCCAGGTGGTCAAGCTTGACATAATCAGAAATAAGTTATACTGACAATATGTACCCTTGACATGATATGATATAACAAGAATGGTACTTCAAAACCCCCCAACCCCACTGTCACCCCGAGAGAAACATCAGACAAAACCAAATTGAGCGACATTTCCAAAATGCCTGGCCAGTGCATCTCAAAACTGTCAAGGTCATTTAAAAACAAACAAAGTCTGAGAAACTGTCAGACCAGAGGAGGCTACGGGGACATGACGACTAAATGTAACGTGGCATCTTGATGGAATCCTGGAACAACAACAAAAAAAGACATTAGGGGAAAACTAGTGAAATCCTAAGAAACTGTACAGTTTATTTAACAG